ATTTCCGACCCGGACAATTTTAGGGGTCTACATTTGGTATAAGTTATTTATACATCTTTCACATTTTTATTTGTGAGAAAGTTATTAGAAACTAAAAATATTTAATAAATAATCTTATAAGATATTATTTAGTTTAGTCATAATATTTTTACAAAATTTAATAAATAAATTTGTATAATTAATAAGTTTGACTAATTAAAATAAAAATATTTGATGAATAAAATTATTGTCTCAACTTTTAATATTTTTCATACAATAAATATGAACATATATTTGAGATGTCACACTTTTTATAAAATTAAAACTAAAAACAAAAAATAAAGTTTTGCATTTCAAAGGTCATACAACAAAAGTTTTCTTACATCAAATAACTAAAAGTAATAAAAGATACATAAAAGGTCTAAAACACATACTAATACCTAAATCATGATGTCACATCTTATTCGAGTAAGACAAACACAAAAGCATAAGTATTGAGTTCCAAACCTTGACCCTAGCATCAATTTCCAATTGAATCTCATCCCGCAAATGACATTAAGTGTAACGACATGTTAGAATCCCTACACTAAATGGTACAACTATTAACAACGAAAAGAAAATTTAACTTAAGATCATATACTTATAAATAATAGAATGTGTTATATCACACACATATAAGGATGAAACAACTACACAAATATGTGTAATATACATACAATAATCCTATAAATGTAAATATACAATTGTGAGTCAAACAACTATAACTATCTATACAAATCTACCACATAAATCTACCACCAATATAGTCATAAAAAAATCTAGCTCTAACTCCACTATATGGCTTCCACTATGACATCTCAGTTCTATCCCTATCTTATTCTCATATAATGTATGATCATCACAGTTCAAATCACAAAAAAACATGCAAAGTTAGAGTAAAAAAAGAAACAATATATATATATATATACACACACACACACAACACAGGAACATCACATCATCATCTCATCTTTGACAACATAGCAATGGAGCATCACAATATACAACACAGTCAACTCAACACAATATATATTCAACACAACAACTATATGCGTCGTCACACATTATAACTAGGAGATCTCTTACAATATAGGGTGAGCAATTTAAGTGACTTGATCCTATCGAACCAATCAATACAAATGATATTTTTTGGCTTGCTAGATCAACAACAAATTTGGATATCAATCCATAACACAGACATAATTTCTCAGATATCGTCACTTAAACTAGGAAAGTCTAGTTCTATAGTTAGGAATAGTATAGTAGGGTATAAGCATATTACAACCTTGACATGCATTACCAAGTCACATATGGAGTTAGTCCACTAATTATTCACAAGGAACCACACAACATTTCTAGTAATCAATTAAGGATGATAGCCTTCGACTTCATACCTTACTCTACATCAACTAAGGAGTTGGATGAAACTCAATACAGTTCTTCACTTCAAGGGTCAACTCCCTAAGAAGGGTTTTCAACAAATTTGGTTCTCAAAGTACCACAACATAATATCCTCGCAATGTGATTTGCAACTTTTGAAAATATCTCCTTCAATCCTAGGTGGTCATCATAGCTCAACAACACAACAACTTTTTACACAACAAAGAAATCAACATGCAACTCCACATCTCATAACTCAATCATCATTACTCATATTCAACTTCTTACTCATCATACATCTTAACAACACATCAACATTATGCATATAAAATCCCTACACAACTACACAACATATTGCTTGACTTAAATTTTAACTAGCAACTCACAAAATAATGACCAACATATAACTTATCAACATTCAACATATAAAGTTCCTTATCATACAACATCTCTATAACTTATTCATCATCGTTTAACCATAAAACAACTCAAACAACAAGCTTTTAACATACAACTTATTCATCAAGCAACCAACCAACTCAATTAGAAAATAAATTTATTTTACTAAGTCTCAATGCTCAGCACAAAATCTCATGTTAAGCCTCGACCTTTCAGAGGGACATCTCAGCTCCTACGCTCAACATGAAACTCATGCTTAACGCAAAATCTCATGCTAAGTCTCAAACTTTCAGAGGCATTCCCCAATTCTCACATTCAGCGTGAAACTCACGTTTTTCAACATCAATGAAGAACATCCTAAATCTCCAATTTCTTTCAACTTATGCAATAAGCTATACCTACAACCTCAAACCTTCCAATTTTCACGGCACACAACTCAAAAATCAAAGGAAAAGCAACATGCATCAACCACAACTCAAAGAAATCATCAACATTTTAACCTTTCATCAAGAACATCAAAACTTCAATTTCATCATGCAACCCACTTTGAATTCATCCCTAGAGTTACAAATTTTAGAAATTCTACCAACATTAAGTTCTGAAATCATTCAACGGCCCAACATTTCAACTAAAATATAAGATTCCAACCTTCCTTACCTCGGAACGGAGTGAAATTGGGGAAGAACTCCAAACTACTCCGAGGTGGAATAAGAGAAGGAAAAAGAAATGGACTCCGAGCTCCAATAACCTGAGCTTTGCACCTCCACCACGAGATTCTCAACTCCAAATTGCTTTGAATCACCACTAGTTACAAAGTCTCATAGAAGAGGAAAACAAAGTCTACGATTATGAATCTTCTCTTAAAAATTTGAGAAGAAGAAAGAGAAGTGTTTAGCCCCTTAAAGTTTCTCTCCCTCCTAAGTTATATCTTACATTAAGCCCAAATACAAACAAAATACACAAAGAGAGGGGGTGACAACAATATGCATAACAAAGCATATAAGGATAAAATAGCACATTGTAGAATAATCACATAAAAAAAAAAAAAAAACATGTCATGCAACGCTCTCATATTATAATACAATTATGCATGCATATAATTAATGCTAATTCAAAAATACATCTCAATTGCTCGAAATCTCATACAAAATTTTTTATCATCACTAAATTAATTTTATTATTTAAAAAATAACACATCAAATGACATTATAAACTCTTTATTAATTATCTTAAGAAAACTATACATAAAATATCATCGAAAGCTCTTATTATTATTCAAGCATTCAGGCCGCAACTTGTGTAAATTAAAGTATTAACAATCTTATAAAATCTAATCAATACAATGCATTTGTGCATGAATACACCAGTGCTTGGTTTGGATCTTGAGAAATTAGCAGGACAAATTAGCCGAAAAGTAGTGTTCTTTAACATCTGAGTTGGTATGGAAAATAGCAAAGAAATAAATCATATCGTAATTTGTGCATAATTTTCTCATCCCATGAGCCTATAGTAAGTGGAAGAGTAAGAAAAATAATAATTTACATATCCCAGTTATATGAAATGACCTTTTTCAATAATATAATTTTTAAAATATAAAAATGAAACAATATACATGCCATTATACACAGAGTAAACATTCATAAATAAGTCCTTAAATGATATATATGCCAATCTAAAAAAAAATGGTAAGCGCCTTTATATTAGTTATTGAAATTAATAAAAAAATTAAATAAGTTTTTAAATTTTTATCTATTGTCATTTTATTTCTTAATTATATATTAATAATATTATTTTAATCATATATTTTAAATTTTAGATTAATCTGATTTTGAATTTCTATTTTTATGGACTTATCTGATATTTTTTTAGTTTTAGGATAAAATATAATAACATCTTCCAATTAAAATAAAATGACTATTTCCAATTCATGATCAGAAAAACCTTCCTGATCTGATTCACATGTGAAAAGTAATTCCAAAGCTAAATGCTTGGTGATGAGAAACACATTCATGACAATACATAAGATAATTTACCATCAAACAAATAAAGTAACTCCCTTGTACTTGCATGTGTACAAATTTGCTTTGTTCCTTATAAATCATCAAACATTATGCATCACTGCAATGTTTTATCTGTTTATGGACTCAAGTTATACAAACTTTTGTAACATAATTGATTGAGTTCCATAATCTATATAAATTCTTAAATTAGTATCTACAATTTAACAAATTTTAATAGCCACTAATAAATGAGAACTTACTTGAAAGATTTTGAAATATAAAAGCTTATAAATATTTTAACCATTGAGAGTCATTGAGAATAAGAGAAACAATATGTATAGAATAATTTAATGGTGATGCATGAAGAATAATTTAACCATGTAGTTATATAACAAAAAGTCCTTATCTCAAGCTTGCTCTCTCTATCTTAACAACTTCATAACAGGCTAGTGCTAAGAGGAGATTACATTGGCAGCTTCCTAAAAAGAAAGAACTTTTAGTTGTAAGTTTTAAGTTTAAGGGAGTCTTAATATCTACTGTTTTTTCAATTAAAAAAATGAATATATTACTAGTGTTGAAAAGGTCTAAGACTTGTTCTAATTTGTTAGAGAAACTGAATTCATGAGGAACTTGAAAATTATATATGTTTTAATGCATGTGGTGTAAGAAGAAAAAAATGCAGCTTATGGTGTACAATTTGAACTTCTGTATAGCTATGGCCAAAACAGGATTTTTTTTTAAAAAAAAATGAAGCCGAAAAATAGAGATATACGTTTCCGGTGGAAAGAGGTAAACTGAATGATGCTGAATTTTATTGGCTTGCAGAAACTAGTAACTGGCGCACATTGGCATTTCAGAAAGTTTCATAGATACAACTGAAATAAGTCCTGAGGGCAACTTCAACACTAAATGCAAAACTGTAACCCCGCCAATATACAGCAAAAACAACAAAAGATGTTCTAAGTTTTGTTGAATTGGTGATTGTAAGCTATAGCTATAGTTTTGTTGACTATTTAAATCTGCTATCTCTAGCTAAATAATGGAACACAGAATCTCTTCCAGTCATTAACATTACTTTCCACTTCCCAGCTCTTTCTTTTTCCCTAGACGTCTCCGCTTATATACAAACAAAATCTCAGGCTTTCTTCTCTTCTCTCCCATTCCTTCATCAGAACCTTCTCCCTTATCAACCAAACCATCCTCCCCGGAATTCTCTTTCTGCTTCAATTCATCTTCCACCGGCTTTTCAGTTGGCATAACAATTTCTTGCTCCAGATCTTCGGCAAACACCTGAAGAAGTTCCATGGGTGTAGCAGCAGGATCAAGCTCCAAGCAACCTTTAGGAGCATTGTGACCCTCTTCACCAGTAAGCAAGTAAGAAGGTACCTGGTGTGAGAAACGAAACATCTCCACCTTTGAAATGTTCCTGACTTTTCTTGGATCGACATTCTGGCGAAAGACAGTCTTGAAACCAGCAACCTTGACAAGTGGGGCAACATTCACACCTTGGTCTTCAATGTAGTCTTCAAGCACCTCTACCATGTCATATTTCTGTATGATTTCATCATCAGTGAATTCAGTCCAGTCAAGGGACCAGTTTCGATACAGAGCCCATACGTCGCCTTTCTTTGGATATATATGGACAACTCCCCTTGAACCTTTTGTCCACTTAACCCTGTGTGAGAAGGAATTAAGAGTGCTATAGGATACACGCTTTCCTATTCTGAAATCTCCGCTGGTCTTGGGAAAGCCAGAACTGATCCACTTTATAGGGGCCAATTCATCATTGCTTTTGGCATTCAGCCAGCTGATCCTCATGTTGAAAGGGTTCTTCGAGATTACTTCATGAATTAAGCAATAATAGCGTGGCATGCCATCATCATTATCATAAGCAGCCCACACCTGGTTCTCGCCAAAAGCATTTTCAATGCGGTCTCCATCAAAATCATGGAAATCTGGGTCTGGAACATTCATTGAGAGAGAACCAGGCAGCTCTGGCTCTGGATCAGCAGAGAAACACTTCTTGCTGACAGTCTCAGAATCAACAAATTCTTGAGGACCAGGTTTTACACCAGTTATTGCCCTTTCTTTGCCCTTCTTCTCTTTGATGTCTGTGTCAGTTTTCTTTGACTTGTCTAAATTCTTTGATGCAGAAGAAGCACTCCATTCATCAAGCTTTTTAAGAATCTCCTTCCGTGCCTTTTCCACCAATATGCTCCTTAGTTGAAGCTGTGATACGTCCCTAACACCATTGCGTTTGTAATTTCCGGCAGCATTAACCCTTCCTGTATCAAAACTATTCTTTTGAGACCCAAATCCATTAGCCAAGTTTATTCCTTCATTTTGAGAGGCTGCTTTGTTTTCCAAATCCCTACCATCACTTCTGACTTTATGTTCATCAATGGGCCTTATTATCCTTGGCCTTTCTCCTTTCACAAAAGAATTTGAACCAAAACTACAGAACTGAAAAGCTGAACCAGCACCAGTTCTCTCAGCAGTATGAGTTTTCCCAAAATGGACATCATCCCTCAAGACAGGTGTTGAATCTTCACGCCTTCTCTTCAAATTCTCAGATGACATCCTAAAAACACCAGGAGCTTCTGCAACACAAGAAGCTGATGTCGGTACACGGGAAATATTGTCAGGCATAGAGAAAGGACCTGACCCAAGGGATGAATTGACAGCAGACGTTGGTGTCCTTCCTGAAACATGATTGCTTTCCATTCTGGTACAGTTGAAGTTATGTTGCTTCATCTGAGAAATTCTTGAAGTGGATGTAATATTTCTGTGTCCAGGTGGAGGCAATGTCTCAGAAGCCACAAATGGCTTATGACAGCAGGTACAGACAAGATTGCAGTTAATATAAACATTATGGTACTCAAACTTTGTCTGGCAGAAAGTGCACACAGTCCAAAATGTGGATTTCAACATCACAGGATTGAAGACATTATTATTATATACACCATTCTGACTAGCTGGTACAGAAGGAATACCACCATGATTTCCACGATATATACCCAATGAATTGTACTTTTGGTCATAGGAGATTCTCTTGGCCTTATCAGATAAATAACTCCAAGCCTGTGAGATAAGGTTAAATGCCCCATCTGCACCTACGGATTTATTTTTATCAGGGTGCAGAGTAAGAGCCAGTTTCCTATATCGTCTTCGAATTGTTTCCTCATTAGCCAAGGGTTGCACACCAAGGATCCTGTACCAATCAAATTCTCCATCAACTTTTTTTTCAGCAGAGATATACACCTCAATAGTTGTTAGCAATTGAGCAAGGCCATCAAGTTTGGGATATAACTGTAGAGCCTTCATTGCAAGCCTTCTTGCCCCATCAAAATCCTTCTGTAAAAGCATCTTCCCTGCAAGTTCTTTAGCCCTTGAGGCGTCATCTTTATTACATTCCATGTTAGCTAGTATCTTTCTGCAAATGGCCACTAATTACTCTACTTTATACAGCAGAGTGATACCAACAAGAAGTGAGGACCTGACAATAATCATTTACACCCAGAACCGACAGCTCCACGTGCACAATAAAGATGCTTCCTTCAATTACAGAAGCCCAATAAACCCTATAAATAGTCCAAAATGATACAACTACGTTAGCAACAAAGGAAAGAAAAAACAAAGTGATGACGGCGTACATAAATCTTAACCAATTAACAGAAATAATGATTAATGGATAACAAAACTCTGTCCAATGCTTATTTATATCCATTAACTCCCAACATTTTACCTAAACAATCAGGTGACTACAAATTCAATGTCTGTATTTTTTCCAAAATAAGCATAACAATATCATAATATTAGATTTCTAATACATTTTCACATTCTCAGTCCCTTGCAACCTTCCCCAACCACAACCCAGGGAACATGTTCCAAACCTTGCAGACTCTGTAAAAGGAAATTGCAAATGAGAATTTCAATAATATAGCAACAAAACAAAGCATGCTTCTTCATATCTCTTAAAAGTAAATTCATGCTCATGCAGCTCTTCAAATGAACAACTTCAATAAATCCACAATCAACAACAAAAGAGGAAAATTAAAAACTAAATTCAAAATTTAAGAATCTGTTTGATTCTCTTCTCACTTCTTGGTTTTAAAAACTGTGTCCTAAAACAATTCCACACTAATCAACAATCATTTTCTCATCTAAAATCCATTCTGTTTTAAAAATTGCTTCCAAAGCAAGTGTTTCAAAAACCCAAAAAGCGAAACAATTGGGAGATGTTTTCTCATCTCCTTTTTCAATTTTCATCTTGTTAAACCTCTCCCTCAATTCCACACCCTCCACCAGCTGCCTAAGCAACCTTTTGCAATTGAATTTTGAAAACCAAAAACAGATTCTGAAAATAAAAATCAAGCACACCCCAAGACTCTCACCAAAAAAGGGGCAAATCACCGCGCATGCAGTCCTTCAAATAAACAAACAAGAACCACATAAAACGAACAACAAAAACACACACAAAAATAAAAATCAAATTTTTAAGACTTATAATCATGTAAAACTCAAGGTTTCAAAGTTTCCACGGCAATGCGGTTCCAACAGACCACATTGGTATTTCCGCTTGGGTTACAAAAAAACACAGACATAATCAAATGAATAAAAACCGACCACGAAACACAAAATCCCTTAAATCTTTTTCCATTCAATAGAATCAACAACTACCGGAGCAGATATCAAGAATCGAAAACCGAAACGCAATCCAGAACGCAAAACCACATTGATTCAGATAAAGAGAAAGCAAAGGGAGAATCAGGAAAAGGCCTCACCTGAAGCAGACACGCGAATGAAGCGTAGCGGGAAATTGAGTTGAGAAAAGCTCTCTGTGTTTGTTTTCTGAATGATTCGGAAAACGGTGGCTGAGTTAAGAGAATTGGGCTCCGATCAGAGTTTCAAAGCTTACTCTGTGTGCGGTGCATGTTAAGGCCATCATGGTGAGAGGTTTTTATACCGTTTCTCATTCACCTCTCAAATTTTTTAAATAAAGCTAATTATTCATGTTTATATGTATATATATATAAATAAATAAATAAATAAAAAGCCAGTTAAAAAATAGCACAGGAAGGATAAAAATCTTATAATGATTTAATTATGATAATGCAAGTGCTATCTTAACAAAACATGGTAATTTTTTCCATGACGTTTTCTTTTATAATTACTTGATCAATCCAAAGAAGTAATTTTATTAACTTTTTTGACATACTGTACATGACTATTAAAATATTAAAATCCTTTGAACAATTACCATGTGTGTATGGTTAGATATTTATCAAGTTTTGTTTGCGAAAAGTCGTTTTGTTCTGTGAAACGAGGTTCAATATAGTATAGTAATTTTTCCTGATTGAATTTCTTATATATGATAAGGTCAATTAGAGATATTTCTATATTTTAAAAGATACGATAAATTAATGCTTTTATCTAGTAGATAATAGATTAGCTTTATTTGTTAATTTTCTTTTTCCTTTTATTTCACCACATTATACAAGTATTAGGAGTGTGCCCCCTATGCTTTGGATTAGTACCATTGAAGGTGCATCTTTCAGTGGAAAATAAATGGTGCAGTATATTCAGTTAATCTTCATCCTGGTACTGTTGTTTGATGGAGTTTGTTTATCTAACTCTTTTAGATTGCAACTAACTCTAGTTAATCCAGTTGAGATGGCAGTTTTCAAAAATTGAGGGTAAAATATGTTTACAAATGATCATAAACTGGTTTTACAGTCATGCATATTGATACTTCCTTATTAGACTATTTGCGCACAATTATAGATATGCACACGTACTAAAGTACCTTCTGTAGATGATTGGATTCCGAGGATTTTGTTGAATACAATTCAACTCAAATTAGTGTTATAGGATTTTCTTCCATTGTTGGAGGCTACCTGATATGCCAAGAATTTGACAAAAAATAATGCTGTTAATTTTCCTTGATGGGATTTTGAGGCATTCTTCATCGATTCCATGCAGTCAAATTCACAGTAAATGCTCAGTATGCATGATAAAAGATGAAAATTTATGAATAAGCAATTATAATGCTTATTATGAAAATCCAAAGCGCCTTTCTTATAATGCTTGTTCTAAACTACCTGACAGAATTCCTCAGACCATAAAATGTGAAAAAGTTTTAGTACACATCAAACTAGATAGTGATGATGATCCTGTCCACAAACAAAAGACCCTTGAACATTGTGACTCGTATTTTCTTAAGTGGTTTGCCAGCATTCCCATTTCATGAGTTTTTATAGATCACAATGAAAAGCTAGAAACCTGATTATGTCCTATTAACCAGCATGTTCTTAATATGTCTTCTAATCATTACCTGGGACTTGACATGATCCATTATCAAATAATTTGAAACTTAGCAGTAATCCTTGACTTTTTCTTTGTTATCAATTCTCACAATAATTTTATAAATAAGGTGAAAATAAAGAGATTCTCGACATGCATATGTACACGCACACATAAAGCAGATGAATTGTGAGACCTCTTTTCTACTAGTAGAACCTTGAAACCAACACTTTTTATAAAGTAGAGCATAAACCCTTGGAGTTTTATTGACAATAATCAAACACTCCACGATGTAGCGTCCTAAGAATATTCTCATAGGTAGGGAATAGCTTATAGAACATTTTAAAAAACAGAATTCTTCAAGCCAATTAACTAAAACTGAAGCTGGAATACTTGTTCAGTAACCCTATTACTGAACTCCAATCTATTTTTCTTATAGTAACATGCAACACAAACCAGAGTAAGTAAAACATATATAAGAGGACTTTCTACAAGAATTTCATATATACTTATTTTATCATTTTATGCCTAAATTAGTTGACAACTTATGATGGTCTTGAAGATACAATCACTGAAGTTGCAAACGCAGATCATGACTAAACTACTTATAGTTGCCAAACTCAGTGTTAGTGAGACAAATATAACCTATAACAAGTCTTCACACTTTGGTTTCCATTAAGGAGAAATACATGTCTGTATTTCACTGACTTCAGCTAATTGAATAAATTTATCTGGCTCGCAATTCACCTTTGTCTTATGAACGCTGGAAGTGTCTATTTCAAGAGGCCATTTATCAGCAGCCTATTCAATTAGTAATTCCAATTCCAAATGCATAATAAAATGCTATGATTTTGGAATTATTTTTGGCATATGGAGGAGCTCACAATCATCTTTGGAAAAAATAAACAACATATTTCAATGGTCTTGGAAAAGTAAGAAGCCATTAATATTTACTTATCTATTCTTAGAGGAAGTCTAACTATATTTAGGGAGTCAGGAAAATAGTTAGGGCATTCAGGTCCAAAGAAAAGTGAACAAGTATGAGTGATCACTTGTAGTAATGAGTGTAACTTGTGAGTAAATGTTTTCACCATTCTTATTAACTCTTTTAAGTGGTTTATTTGAGTTCTTATTAGATGATAGCTGATACACTACTTGGGATGAGATTTTCAAGTTTAGACAACTTATAATCTTGGATTCTTGATTGAATTAACGAACAGAAAAAAAAGGTGTTGAACTATGTATCTTCTGTCTTCATACTCTTCTATTATTTCATATGATGTATCTCGAGTGTTCTCTTCAATTTTTGGTGTGTGTGAGTCTTCCCAACAAAAATATATTTTGGGCCTTAAAAATGTTAAGTCAAGTTGTTCTTACAACATACAAAGCATTCTTTAAAGTTTATTTTATCATGCCATTCATTTTGTTTCATATATATTTCTTTCTCTTCTCTTTTTACCTCTCAATGTTATAAAAAGCTGTAAAAATATTAAGCAAGAATAGAATTTCTCAAATGCTAATCAATCTTATATAACGTTTCTTTACAAAATGTCTGTTACATGAAAGTTGTCTTTTGTGCCATCTTCTATGCATTACACTCCGGTTTCCATGCATGTGAACTTGTTTTTCTTGTCATAGGCTATGTATTTTCATTCAACAAACGTAGATGCCATGTCTTTAACCAAATTCATCAGTTTTTTTCTTCCAAATAGCATTACCCTCCAGAACAAGGAAGTTCTCGTACACACATAATAAGTTGGCCATTATTGAGTAAATTACATTATTGCCACCAATAGAAGAGTAAAAAGACTATATTTATTTAAAAAGGAAAATAATACATGTGTGTATCATGCTATTGATCAGTACACAAACAGATTTGAGAGTTATTTACTGAGGTGTCATGCATGTGGCACAGTACAGACAAAGTCCAGCACTACTTATTTACGTGTGATTGAACACTTGTCTGTAACGCAAAAGAACGCTTCAAATATGTAAAAAAATAGAAGTTACAACTAATAGCTTTTGTCTTATACAGAAAATCATGTCATATAACAACTAAAAACGTAATTAACTAGCTGTCAGTCAGAGAGAGTAAATGATGCTTAAGAATATCAAAGTCCAGGTCTTTCAGAAAAACGCCCCCAGGAAAAACTTACTGTTATATAATAACGTGTATATATATATATATATATATATATTGAGTTCAGTTATACTAAAAAAGGGAGGCAAATGAGGGAGAGAAAGCAAAACAAAAGTGAAATACTGAAGAAAAGTAGTGGGAAGATGCATGAACTAATGTAGTTAGAAGTTACACCGCGACAGTTTTTTTTTTTTTTTTTTTTTTTTTTTTTTTTTTTTTTTTTAAATATAAATTATGTATATATATTGACGATGAAGTGGCGATAATGTTCACATCAAACATAACGTGGTATTTCAGTAGTGATTTGCCGACTAATATTGACGGATGATGTAACACATTACTATCAATAACGTGACATTGATATGATAAAGTAATATAGGATTTATTTTTAAAAATAATAATAAAATGGCCTTAATTATTGAAAATTTATTATTTAAATTATTAATTAAATTAATTAATAAGGTGTGACATGATCAGTATTTTAAAAGACTAATTTTTAAATTACATTAGTTTCAAAAAAACACATTATATAAGTCAGTTACTTTTTTTAATTATGTTTTAACAATATATTATATATAATATTATTGTTTGACACTACAAGAAAATTGACATATAGTGATATAATACGTGCTATTAAAAACTACTTTTACCCACACAATAAATATAATATATGTTGGTATATTGTTAAAAAGTGTAGGTATAGAGTATAGACTATACGTGACACACAAAATATGTTGTTAAATCTTATTCAAAAACAACACTAAATTTATATGTAGTTATATGTCAAATAAGTATATACCTACATATATTATACATATAGTTCACTATATGGAATATTTTTTGTAGTGTGAGTTAATTTTTTTTTCAACTAATCTTAATCTAGTTTAACATCAATAAATAAAAAATTTATTTAATAAAGAAATGTTCTTTAAGTAAATTAATTATATTATTATTATTTAATATTTTATACAATAAATATAAATATAAAAAATTGTAAAAAAAAATAAATAATAAAATAAATAATATAATATTAGTATATATTATTTAGTATATTTTGTATAATAAATAATATAAGATCTATAATATTAAAAATAATATAACATTATTGGTGTATTAAAAACATTAAAAAAAACATAGTTAAAAAATAAATGAAAGATAAAAAAAATGATTTTATGTTGATATTTATTATTGTATGAAACATTAAATAATATATTATATAATTAATTTATTAAAAAATTTATCATTTTATTGAATAAAATTATTATTTAATAATTTTAAACATGATTAACATTAAATAAGGAATTTAGAAAAATAGCTAACTCAAATAGTAATGTTATATATAATATAGTGTGCAGGGTATGATTGAAAAAATTAAGTAGATTTGTTGTTTCAATAGTGACTTTTATAGTGAAAGTTGTGGATTCTAGTCCTCATAAGGTTATTATTATTTTTTTATTTTTAAAATAAATTTTATATTACAATTTGCATAAAGAACACAAATTGTATAATAGGAAGACCAAAAGTATAATTT